TGATGGTCGAGACACATCTATAACTCCTCAGGGGTACAACTTAGTATAGAGATAAGTTGCGTTAAATCATCTTAATTTATTGTCCTCTAAATGTCCCTGCTCTGTGTCGGTTCTTATGTCAATCACCCTGTATACCTCCGGAACACCATAACTACGTTAAATCCCTTCCACATACTGAGAATGTTAAGGAATAACTTGTTATTAAATTTAATTTTTTTCTTTTAAAAATATAACGTAAATAAAATGTTTTTTTTTTAAATTTTTTAAGCTATATGTTACAGAGTTAAGCTCTTTCACATTTTATAACAACAAATTTTTATTTTGAAAGTGACCTAAATCCTTTCAAGGTAAGCAAGGACATATTATACACTTAATAATACCGATTTTTATAAAATTAACTCCATTAAATACGATTTAGCATTGCGAGTCAACCATATACCTTGCTTATATGTTTGTATAATAATTTTGTAAAAACGCAAAACCTTAAATATTTCAAATCACTTTCAAAATAAACGGCTTATTTACGATAAAATATAAGACTGATTATGATCTCTTCACAATAAAAGTACAATATTCATGAGTGTTTTAATTTAAACTTATTTCAAAGAATTTCCACTGTATTAAAGTGCCCCAATTGATGTTTCTAAGTGCCCCTTTGGTAGGGAAGAATGATTTAAAATCCATTTGTTACAAAACACCTAATTTTCCTTTTTTTTTTCACAACTTAAACAGTTTTTCTCTTTACATTATAATATTTGTATATTTAGTTATACGCCGAGTTAAAAATAAAATAAAATAAATTTATTACGTTTTTCTAATGATATTTGTTTCTTTATTTTTCAGCATCAATCTGCCCCAATTCCCCCTATGTGCTGTTAACTGCTTGTACCTGGTTAAATTTGATGTTATTTCTTAATACATTAGTTCAATGATACCTTTCTAATAATACCTTCATAAAAAATTAATTATGATCACGCCCAATTTATTATTTAGAGTTTCTCAAATTTTACCTAACCTTAACGGTGTCAATAATTGGGCAACTTCCCTAACGAATAAGGAAATGAAGACAATGAATAAATAAGTACATTTTACATTTTATTTTACACTTTCTAAATTAATAATCTAATTTTGAGATTTTTTTAGTGATAGAATGTCTTTTTCCTCCATACATTTAAGTAGATCTACTTATTAAACTCTTTAAAATAGATTCATTTTTATTTTCATAAAAATATAAGTGCGCAATATATTTTTTTAATAAAAATTATTTTTAATTTATAAATTAAGTTTGTTTTAGAATTGACTCTACAAGTCATAGGCACACTTAAAAAACACCTCAAAAAAATTATTAAAAAAGATTGCATCATTAAAAAAAAAAAAAACAAAATAAAAATCGCAACAGGTAACTGAAAATAAAATAAAAATTACACTTGGGCAACCTCCCCGTCCTGTTGCAAAATCCAGTGCGCGGCTTTCGTTATGTCCCAAGAACAATGGTCCAATGCTAAGGTATAGGTACCTAGCGGAGCGCCCGGGACGACTTTTTGCAATTTAATCACCTTAATTGCTTTTAGTACCTCCCAATCGGTATGATTAAGCGCTTCTAAACACTGCTCCGTTGAAATCTTACGAATTTACTTTACATTAACCACCGAAATCGGGATCAAAAGGCAAAGATATATTTCATTTTTATATACTTACATCGTTCCGGAACACTTTAATCAATATTCGAACTTGATCCGAATCGTTTCCACGCGTTCTCGAACTCGGTTTTGCATCGGCAAATTCCAGCAAATCCTCACAACTCACATGGTGACTTTGAATCTTTTCCGGCAAATCGTTATTCGATTTAGGACTAATTGGCGCATCGACGCAATCTTGCCCATCTGATGCGATATCATCCAAAGCAGAAATATTCGATTCGATTTGTGCGTCAAAATCAAAATTACCATCTCCTCTACCGTTATTAGGCGAAGGAGATTGAAACGGATCGGAAACCGTTGCAGGAGGAGTCGGAACTGTAAATTTATTTAAAGTTCCTTGTAGACTTAAAGGCGGGATTATTAAAGGGTGTTTTCGCGTATGGCGAGGTTTCGCTGTTAACAGAGGTTTCTTTCGGTCTCTAGGTGGTAAAGGAATCGGATTTTCATCCTGTTTTTGTAATTCAATCGGGCGAGGACTATCGGGTGTATCTGAGTTTGTTTCGATAGGAATCGATTGAATTTCTTGTTGTTGAGGTCTTGAAAGTTCTAAATTGGAATCTTAAATATAAATAGTTAAATTAACCTATTACAACTTAATTGTTTTTATTACCAGATTTATTTCCATCTAAACTTTCAGTTGCTGACCTTCGATCTGTAGCTGATTTAGCGTGGGGTAACGTATTCATTTTAGTTCTTGGTTTAACTACGGGAAAACCGGATCGTAACATTCTCAAAGGATTACCAACAGGCATAAACTACAAAAAAATATTAAAAAGTAAGATTTTTTGTTTGTTTTTGTAACTTGAGTATCTTACGGGGGCTAAATCTGTTGGAGATCGATTCTCGACTAAACTTTGATAAGCTAATTCCGCTTCTTGAGTTACCTTGGACTAAATCAAAAAGAAAAAAAAGCCAAAAAAAATAAATAAATTAAAAAAATTAAGAGAAATTAAATCAATAAATAATATTGGAATTAAGAATTAATTTAGATTGTAATAAAAAACGATATCACTTTGTTAATTTTTTTTTAATATTAAACGGTGTTCTCCAAAATGTTTCCAAGGAATGATATAAACCAGAATACGACAACCCTTTAAAATGAGTTTAGTTACAAAGTACAAATGCGGTATACGTTCGACGTCAATTGATTCCATTCGCGCACAAGTTTTATCTTGTAGATGAATTATAAAATATCACATAACAAGAGACCGATTTTAGACCCACCTTTCCCAAAAATTTATGACTCAAAATCTAAAAGTTATCTATAATAATAACTTTAAGACAGTGATCACAAAATCTTAACACAGAGTGATTAACTCTGCATATAGGGTGATAGAAATGTCTGAAAACTATTAAATTTAAGTTAATCTGTTTCAGTACATTTCTTCCACCCCGTCTGAGGAAGATTTAAAGACTAATGATATAAACGGGCGGAGATGATCACACGCAGGATATGGATATAGCAGCAAATCCCCTTTATTACACTAACGGGGTCCTAAGGATCTAATAAACTACCTTAACATGCGAGTATTTATGATTGTTGTTGGTTCAAGTATCTTAAATTTATCTTAAACTGTATAATGTCAAGGTTATGTTTTGTTGTATTATTGCTTAATTGTTAATAATTGGAGTTTTTTTATCATCAAGATCTTATGTTTTCATCTTAAAGACTAAAATCACTTGATAACTAGAAGTCATCACTTTTTATCATGGGGGTAATGTATTACTGCTGTATATATCATTTTTGTTTAATCAGCTGTCAAAGTTGGTATAACATAGTAAAAGACAACGATCTGGCAACGCTTCTTTCTGGATAAGCGAGAACGTGCTTTAATCTGTCTCATTTATAAACACCTATTTTAGTAAACAAATTTCAGTTCTTCGATTATTTTTGTTTACTGGAGGACGGAAGGGATGGGGGGCTACTGTATATCTGAAATATACTTACTGTATATTTGCGCAAACAAACTAGTATAAAAGCCACGATGACTCATCCAGAGAAAAAAATACAACACAAGAAAATAGTAATGCGTCCTAAGGAATAGTGCGACATTCGAAATAAATCTGAGTAAAGACTCAAAGAAAACATGGTCGTTGAATTTGTAGATGCTCTCCACAGACTCATCTAATTGTAAGAGCTGACAGAAATCTACAAAGTAAATGTGAGAAAAAACTAGATCGAGGAAAAAATTATGAAGAATGTGGCTAAATCTGAAAAACGAGACACGATAAAAAATATGTCAAATCCGTGGGATGAGACTTAAAGGCAAGATGAGCCAGAACGAGCTCAAAATATTTGCAAAAGAAAGAAGTCAAGGAATTCAGAAACCTCAAAACCGAATTAGACCTAGAAGACATAGAATACCACAACTGCCAACTCAGAAGTGAAAAAGAGGAACTTAAAAGACAGCAAATAGCGGCCATTGCCGCTAAAAAACCATAAAAACGCCTGAAGGAAAGAGTATGTTCAATGTGGAAAAGGTAATTGATATGAGAGTACGATCCGAAACCAAAAGAAAAAGTGGAAACACCACCCAGTGTTTCTGTTTTCATGAATTTGGACACATGTGCTGCAGATGCTTCAAGAAGGTGTTACAAATATGGAAACGAGAACGAAGACTAGAATTATCAAGAAAAGAAAAAAGGGAAAAAATCAAAATAAGCCGCTAAAATGCACAGTAGAAAATGGCAGAAAGAGTCTAAATAAGAAAAGAAATGCCCTTCGCTAATAAGAGGCTGAGAAGAAAAGAAGGAAAAAAAAATCAGAGAGAACTAAAAGAAAATAGATATAAAAGAAATACGGAGGAAAGTGATAAGAGAGGAACTGGTGGGAACCATCAGGGATATATTGAAGAAAGTACTACAAAAATGAAATGAACATTAAGTTAATAACATGGACTTCAGAGACAAACGGAACTCCGAGTAGGAGTAATGCAGGAAAACATAATGTGAAACAAATATACCTGAAACATAGAAGACGAGATGACAAAGACTAAATAGAAAGACAAAGGATGTAAGAGTTCAAGGAAGTTACAAAAGAAGTTTCAAAGAGAAAACAATACAACTAACGAAAGACTATATGCAAAGTCGTGGAAAGTGTCAGTAATAGCGACTATACAGAAGAAAGGGAAGGATACAACGAAAATACTGGACATAAAAAGAACGATATTAACGAGTTCGTCCAGGAAGAAAACATAATACCAGAAAGTCAATACAGATTCACAAAATATAAGGGGGCTGTCATGCCAGCGGAAAACCTCAGAGAAGAAGTGGAAAAGTACAAAGAAACCTACACAGTCCTACTGGACATGGAAAAGGGGTACAATATGAGGTGAAGAGAAAGTCTCCTTCATAAACTGGCGGTAATAGGATCTCCGGCATATCTGCATTAGATGATTACATCCTTCCTATAAGATAGAAACTTCTGAGTAAGGATAAACAAAGAGCTATCCACTAAAAGAGTAGCGGCAAAGGGATTATCACAAGGAATCCCGCTGTCTCTCATCCTATATAGCAAAATGGTGCATAATATTTCCAAAAAAAAAGTACGAGGAAGCCAAGTTAGACAAGATTAGAATTGATAACATTAGAATTGGAAACACCCAAGGACAGTAGAATCTAACAGGACTGCTACATGCATTGTATTTTTGTAGCCCACTACGGGTTGGTTGCCCGTACTCTACGTCACACTATTTGCCACGCCCTGTTAACTGTCATTCAGTACAATGCGTTTGCTGTGTTTTTAGAGATTTAGAGGTTACATGATAGACATTAATACGTCTAAAAAAATAAAACTTCAAAAATAATATGAATACGTCTACGATATAACCTCTAAAAATACACAGCAAACGCATAGAGCTGGGCGTAGCAAATGGTATGACGTAGTTTGCGGGCACGTTGTCACAACAATGAATGTAACAGTCCTGTTAGATTCTACTGTCCTTGGGAAACACCATAGTAACACAATAATAAACGGCAACCTTAAAATGTGCTAAAGAATCACCCCTGAAGTTTGGAAACGTCATTAAGATACATCCTGTATATGAACAAGTAAATTATTGAAAAATTTGTATTAAAGATAAGGCTTTTGGAACAAATAATTATTTTTTAGTAGATGAAAAAAAAGGAAGAAGGAACCTTTAGCAAAAAAATAAAAGACTGGGGTTCTAAAATTAGAAACCAAGACCCATAGCAATATCCATAACTTAATATGGATAGAAAAGAATATTATTAACCGGACAATATGGAACCACATTTATTCTGCATATTTTCAGGACAACACATCAGGAGAATTGAGAGTGATGCCCAAAACTAACTGATGAATAGAAAAATACACGTATCCAACGCCACACCGGTAATTAGTCATACTGTAGTAACCGCCGAGTTAACTCGTGAGAACTGCAGTTTTGGTTTTAAAAGAAAAATGCAAAGAGTGATGCTTGGTCAAAGGAGGAATGTAGAAATGACTACACTCTTGCTTTAGCTCGACAATGGTTTCGGGTACAAGATGGTTCTCCACCTCCAAAATTCGAATTCTTTACAAGACTACCTAACCGTGAAAATATTGTTCGCTACCAGAATCAAATACTTATTAATATTTTTCGTCTGTACTTAGCCGACTTAGCGACGTACTCTTGTCGCGATAAGTACACTTGTTGTCACTTGTTAGTAGTACTTCACAGGTTTAGTTAACTGCGGTTAAGTAGGAGTCGCTAAAACTTTTAAGGTATGAAACAATTTCAATTTTTAGTTTCTACAAGCATTTGTGCGCCCAGTGACTATCACCTCAGAAATGGTTCAAAAACAGAATTCTGTATTCAGCAACGAATGCTCCTTATTGTCAGGAATGCAACTATGCTGAAAGGAATGGGCAAGAAAGAGATTGTGGTACTATCCCCACTACTTTAGGGGCGGAAATAGGGGTGGTTTAAACTAATGAAAAGAATTATGGATGTTTAATTGTTGCTTCAAAGTTTCCATCATTTCATCACTATCATCCCAGTTTACAAAAAAAAAGAAACAAAATCGAATGTAATAATTATAGGAGAATTACGTTGCTGAATATTGCTTATAAGGTGTTCTCAAATATCCTACTGTCAAAACTAACACCCTACACGGAAGAAATCATTGGAGGAACGACTTTTTAAAAATGCTACGAGCACATCACTGACATCTACGCCATGTTTGTGAATTTCCGCAGGGCTTTTGACAACATACTCAAAGAAAAGTTATATCTTTTCATAGAGCGAAGTGGTATACCAAAAAAACTTGTCAAATTGACAAGAGCTACACTACAGAATGCTAAGGCAAGAGTTTCTGTGGATAGACGGTGTAGCAGAGAGTTCGTTGTGAGTAGAAGGGTAAGACAAGGTGACGCCCCCTCAACCACATTATTCAACCTAGCACTTCAAGCGCCACTAACAAACATCGTGGATAATGGGACAATTATCTACAAATCCAAGATGATCCTTGCTTATGCGGATGACATCGTCATTATTGCCAGGAATGAAAACCAACTCAGGAAAACTTACAACGAGCTGCAAAAGGAGGCCAAAAGGTTGGTCACCAACGGAACGAGGATGAAATAGACATGACATCGTTATCGAGGATGCAACCTTCGAAAATGTCGTCTATCTTCGTTTATCCGAAATAAACAACACAAACCGTATTAGCTCCGATATACAAAGGAGAATGAACTTGCTGCCTATAGAACCAACTACGCTAATAAAAAGTTGATCAGGTCTAGAATCATCTCCAGAACAACCAAAATCAGGATATACAAAACTCTGATTAGGCCGGTTGCCACATATGGATCAGAAACATGGAGTTTGACAGCTAGCGATACAAAGAAACTTGTTGTTTTTGAAAGAAAAATAATCGGACGAATATTCGGACCAATATACAGGGTGAGTTATTAATATTCCGACGGACGACAGTTGCTAAACCGCTTGAGAAAGAAAAAAAGTTGTTTGACTCACCACTTTCTATTACGTAAAATTATTTTCACTTTTACAGGGTGTTCCATTTAGGCGTAACGGAGAGTATGTAGATTTTTTTAAATGGAACAGCCTGTATATTTTATCGCATTATGAATAGAATTAAATTTGTTTATACAGCCGTATATGTTACTAACTCATAGCGTTCATAATTCTTGAGATATTCAATTGTTTTTCCAAAATGTGTCCAATGCAGGATCTTTTTAAAAACGATGTAAAAACGACATTTTTTCCAATTTTGCCTTGAAACTATGGCAGATAATAGTCAAAGCTAGTAGGTAAATGATAGTATCCAAAGATTAGATTAGACGCTATATAGCGTGTTTATAAAGCTTAGTTACTTTTGATGTTTTTCAAATGGCGTTTTCAAAAGTTTTTTAAATGGAACACTCTGTATATTGTGTGCTCGTTGAATTGCCCATCAAGTTACCTTTAGATAATAATAAGTATGTCATATATCTAACTTTAGCAGTTTTCCTGATATTTAGATTTTAAAGAATAATGTGTAATAAAATATGCGCTATTCTACTTAATATTATATGCTGTCTATGTTTATCGTTTTTTTTGTTCTTCCTTGTATTATTTGATTAATATTTTATAATGTAAAATAAGTTTGCTGCCATATACCAGAATTTAATGCGATTTGGTACTTTATGAGATTTAAAAAGATGTAAGTAATGTAATACGCAATTGTTCTGCTACATAATAGACGACTTTAGAGAAAATAAGATGCACATGTTAAGAGATACCTCAAGATCTTTTATACAGCGCATTAATGCTTGTAGAAGAGAAAATGGGCGGCATTTTGAACAACTTCTAAATATTAATTAAATTAACACCTGCTTGTTGAGCAACGTTTAGTAATTGTTTATAGTTTGTTGCTACTTTTCCGTCAAATAATTTAGTAATTAAAAAAGGGATTTATTGTTCTGCCATTTAATTGTATTTTTATCACGTTTTGGTTATTTAATTATTAAACTTTTTTTTAAATTGTATTTTAATATTACTGATTTACAAATGACAAACAAAAAAGAAAAAACAAAAAAAAGTAACAAAAAATTCTATCACTTTTTTAAGTACAATAATGACATTTTATTACACATTTTTCTTTAAATTCTAAATATCAGGAAAACTATTAAAGTTAGACATATGACATACTTATCATTAATTAAAGGGAACTTGATGAGCAATTCAACTAGCACACAATATACCTCGAAACCGCTACAAGGATGTACTGGGGGATCTTCAAAGTATGGAAGTGTGAAATTTGAATGGCAGAACTGCAGACTGAGATGGATGGCGCGAAGTCGTGAAGCAGGTTAAGGTTCATCCCGAGCTGTAACGCCGAAGAAAGTAAAATAAGTGTTTTAAATATGAATTGTAATTTAATTAAATGTAACCCTTACGCCCATAAGATAACAGAGGGATTTGATTAACAATAATAATTTTAAAAGAATACCAGTTACTATCGAAATGCGTAGCCCAATTAATATGTATCCTTAGGGTCAGAAAGTGTAAGTTAGCACATTATTTAAACTAGTACCAAATATAACAGACTAGACATATATGGGTTAATATAGTTTTCAAGGTTTCTTATATTAGTAGTGATTATGAATGAGAATAATCTTTACCAGTCTTGATGTTTCTTTATCTTCAACTTTTATGCATATGTTTTCTATAATTATAATTAGATGAAATTATTACACCATCCATAAACATAGGTGTTAGGGTAGTATACAGTTGTTCTTTTAATACCTTCTTTAATAGCATCGACAACTGATTAAAAAAAAAATAATCTATACAGACATCAAATTATATAAACATTATTAGTATAATCGAAAATTATTATGATAATGTTATATTCCAAATGATTAGAAAGCATTTTTCTAAATAATCTGGTTTATACAAACTTTTTTAATTTTATGGTCATCAAAAAAAAATTTCACCCTAAAAAATATTGAATACTTTTAAAATAATAATCTTTATAATTTAGCTTCTAAAGTAGGCAACGATCCCCTAACGTAAATATTTTTAAATGAATATAATTAAGCTTAATTTCTTAATAAAAAGATAAAATAAACGTGATTGAATTGTTTAAAGATTTTTAAAGACTAGAATCACTTGATGAACACAAGTCATCTTTGTGGGGATGAACTCTAGATACGGAAGTCGGCGATAATCCGCTTAAAATACTATTACTTGGCGGTGGCGATTTCCCCAATATCTTCGCAGAACAACAATCCGGTTTTAAAAACCTCGAAACTCTCGCCCTATTACTAACCGTTACCATTTCCGATCGAATACTCGAATTGCTCGTGGACAACCGATTTAACCGTCTTTTCCGTCTCCAATCATGATCGACTGACCCCAAACTAGCACAATCCGCTGAATCGGAAGAGCTAGAATCGCAATAAGCTCTCGGATTATACGATTGACGACGACGATTTCGATCGCGAATACTTCGTCCTGAGGATTTTTTCGGAACCGTTTCTTGAGAATCGGAAAAACTCAACGCTCTAGGCCTATTAATACTATCTACCGGTTCGTTAACGTAAGTATGATTATCGTAAACGAAAACGTTATCATACGCTTCTACAGGGGTATAAGATTTCTCGTAATCATGAAAAGTTGTTTGTCGATCATCGCAAATTTCTCCGTTCCTAACGTTGAATGGAGACGGGGGTGGAGGACGCACATCGTGAAGAAACGAATCGAAACGATCGGAATTATAGGTTTTTCGAACCATATTTTCAGATTTGGTTATATTACGATCGCGGTAATAATAATGATGAGGACCGTTTAATAATGACATATCTTGAAATTTTTTTTCGAACGAACGTTGTCTATGCGCGTATTCATCGCGTAACTTAAAATTTTGTGGGGGTTGTTTAGGAGATGGGAACGGCTTGGTTAGAAGTTCGCGGGATCTCGCAAAGCAAAATTCGGCAGATGCTTTGTCCCAAAGGGGTAAGCGTATCGAGTATTCGTCCAAGGATGTTAGAGAACACCGTAGTCTATGCTGTGTTATTTCGTGGTTAATGATTAATTTAAAAAAAATATATATAAGTATAAACAAATAAAAATTGAACAAAAAAATAATAAAAGGAAAAAAAATAAAATCAATATGTTAGTAGTGATTAGATTAAGTAAGTAATAAAACGCACAAATTTTAATCCAAAAATGTGAATTAAAATTTTGTGATTAAATAAACAACATACTAACCTGTAAATCCGGTGTAGATTGAGCTTCCTCTGAAAAATTTCTCCTCTCAACTGGTTTCTCATGATCCGTAACCGACGGAAATCGAAAACTAAATTTTCTTTTGTTTGGTGAAACAGGAGTAGTAGGCATAGGGGCACTCATTGACCTTGAACTGTATTCATGAGCCAAAGCTATTGCTGTTTCTAAAGTTTTTTGGTCATGAGCACTAATTGGTTTAACAGTGGCTTGTTTTCTGGGTTGTTTCGACGACGACGATGACGCCAAAATCTCCCTTAATTCGTTATTTTTATTCGACGATTCATGTTCGGCAGGACTCGGCGGTGGTGGATGATTTAACGTTCCAAAAACTCTTTGCATTTCATCAAGTAATGAAGGACCTAAATCTAATGGCGGACTATTTGCGGCTTCGTCATCACTTATTTCATGATACTCATGATGATCGATTGTTGATGAAGGAGCAGGGGGTAACGCAATGTGGTCGTCTAATAACGGGGCTGCTTCTAAATCTTCGTGGGGACGAAACGGTGGAACAACTTGAGTTGGAATACCGCTATAATCTGATTTAGCACCTCCCAAAAAGCTTAAATCCCCGAAATAAGCCCCATCCAAACCAACATGACCCGTATGTTTTAAATCACCTTGTGGTGCGCTAATCATTTCGCTTTTTAATTTTCTCCTTGCGGAAGTTCGGGTTGAATCAGTACGAAGAAACGAAGAAGTAGGTAAATCACTTCCAAGGTAAGCTACAACGTTGCTTGGATCAAAAAGTCCTGTTTTTCCAGAAAGAGTAACACCCTTCCATAATGGTCTATGTGATCTAAACACCAAAAATGAAAAACAAAATCAAATTAGGTTAAACATTAGTAATTACGTAAATACTGGTGGTAACACTGCCCTAATTTGTCAGTTGAGAAAAGTGCATATCGAGTTGAAAGTTTGAGATAGGTAAAAAAGTAGACTTTTATTTAGCATGACGTGTTTCATAAATAAGCATAGAAAGTATTGTAATCTTGTTTTACTTCAATCTGGACATAGACACAATTTTAGATAGAACAGTTTTACTATTTTTTTAAATGAAGTTGGTAAAAACATAGTAAATGTTTTATTTTCGTTTGGTCGAACATAGGTTTTACAATTAATATCGACCTCAGTGGAGGACTACATACTGGAGTAATAGTGTACGAAACGTTTTCTAATCGTCTACTTAAATCTAGTCGATTCTGCTTAACTCGACTAATAAAGATATGTACGCTTTTTCAGGAAAATGTCATAATCAAACAAAAAAGTGTTCCACAGATAGCGATATTGACGCTATTCATAATGGTATGGGAATAAGAGAAGCAGCTCGAAATTTTCAGATTCCCAAAACTAGCCTGATAGACAGGTTTTAAAGGCAGAATAAAAATGAGGCCTTTGATTATCTACCATTCTCGGTCAAGAAAAGGAACAAAGATTATCTTTGTGGCTGAAACATTTATCCATGGCAGGATTCCCCTTGAAGAAGAAAGAATTGTTGAAATCGGTTCAACACATGCCTGAGGAGATGTGGTTTAAAAATTTATAGATGACCAAATATTGTCTTTCGGGAGCCCGATGCTCTGTCAAAATCACGCGCAATAATTACAGAGGAAGCAATACGAAAATGGTCCAGAGAGTTAAATAAACCACTTCTTAAACGAAAGTAATTGCAAAGACATTTTTGAAGCCCCTCGTCGGGTATTGAATGGTGATGTAACCGGGTTTTTCATGTGTCCAAAATCCGGGAAAGTTTTGGCACCAAAAATATATATCAAATAAAAAACGCCAATAAAAAGGAGAATATAACTGTACTATTGGCTTTTTCTGCAAATGGTCAAACATTATATCCAATGATAATTTTTCCACATGTTCGGCCTCCAGCTGCTCTAGTGAAGTCGATTCCCGACCAATGGTTTATTGGTAAATCTACTAGTGGCTGGATGAAAAGTGATATTTTTTACGAATATGTGATTAATGATGTCGATACGTGGTTGAAGGAAAATGATGTATCACGCCCATCTTATTTATCGTATCACCTAAGCAAATGGTGTGATGAACATAATATAACTATGTATGCTTTGCCTCCAAATACAATCCATATCATGCAGCCAGCTGAAGTTAAGTTATTTAAGCCTTAAAAAGCTGATTGGAAGGCGACTGTTCGTGAATGGCAAAATAAAAATGATAATCTAAACAAAACATTAACAAAAACTGAAAAAATATTAGATGGCTTTAAGCGATATAGTCTTTCTCCCCTATATCCGCATACCGTAGATTTTACAAAACGCGTTCAGAATCGATTAGAATATATAACATTGAGAGCCATCGGTTCGATTACCATGGAAGATTTAAATACCACAAAAATGGTTCCTTCTCATTTTAGAGAGGCATTGAAATCGAAAAACATCGATGCAGATAAAATTAGAACTGTCTTAGATAGTTTGTGGGAATCACAAATTCCCATAACATATTCATGAAACGAAGCATGTTGCCAAAGATGAAATCATATATGCAGAAAATCAAGTAAAAGATCTACAAAGAAGTAAAAAAGGACCTAATCTTGAAGTTGAACACAAACTACTATTTACTATGGTTAATGGGTAAATATGCAATGCCGCAACTAACATAGCATCTACAATGCGGTGCTACATCATGATACATCAAAGATTGTTCAATTTTTCACTTATCATACAAGCTTCCAATTGGAAAGTGGCAAGCAAGATCGGGAGAAGATAAAAAGACGAGAAGATACAGCCGATAGATGAGTTTCTTAGTAGACATTCTAACAGCTGGTTTTGGAAATACTAATGACGGAAATTTGGCTAGATTTTTGCAAGATCCTAAATTAACAAGAGAAATTACTAATGTTGACGAAACCTTAATTTATAGATTCAGAGATTTCAGACAGGAGATTTTATGTCTTAGTAGATATTAAAAACAGCTTGTATTGGAATTACTAATGACGGAAATTCGGATCAAAGATTTTTCCAAGACCCTAAATTGATAAGGGTAATTACTGAAGTTGACGAAACCTTAATTTACAGATTGAAGATTACATTGGAAGCAATATAAAGTCGCAAAATTTGAAGCATATGCATACTAAACAAGTCAGTTGTATATTAATTTATACAGCTGGTATCCGATGACACCAACATGCACAAAATTTTAGTGCATGGTGCTGAAATTATTTTGCATGCATTGTTGCTGATCGGCCAACTATCAGAGGAGGCTGCTCAAGATAGAAATAAACACTTTCATACATAAAGACAGGGATTCGCAAGAAAATTTTCCCGAGAGGTGTGTAATAGAGATGTTATACATAAATTACTGTTGACCTCTGACCGCAAAGAAAATCAACAAAACCGTTCTCCAAAGAAACCATCCATCTTCTTCTTCCATCAAAAGTTGCAATACCTTTTACTCAAGAAAGTTAATGGAGACGAAAAACTAAATGAGGAAAGGTTCGTGTAACGAGTCAGAATAATTTTTTAGGGTGGCGTCATATAATTTAATTTCTGAAGAAGTTTTAAACCAACGTGCTGTAGTAAATGTCGAATTTGAAGAAGATATTCTTGCTGATGAATTCAACGAAAATTCGAATGTCGATAAAATTAACGATAATCAGGCTGATTGAACTTCGAATCAGCCAATGGAAAAAAGGGCTGAGAAAAAAAAGAATCTATCAAAGAAAAAGAAAATGATATATAGTATGAAGAAAAGGAAGGAATTAACAAAAAATCCAGAAAAGCCATAAAATACTCTGAATGTGATGAAGAGATTATTAGCGATGATTATAACACCTCTCAAAAACGACCAGCAAGCGCTTCCTCATCTACAAGTTTGTCGATGACATTTGCTGACAATGATTCGCTTGTTATATCCAAAAAACAGAAAAGGAATATTAACACAAATTTGGAAAACTTTATTGTACGGACGCATATTGATAAAAAAACAAGAAATAGATAAACAAATTGCAAGAGCTATATTTGCAACACACAGCAGCTTTAGATGTATGGACTATCCGCAAGTGAAGAAAGCAATTGAATTGTTAAGACGTGGTTATAATCCCCCTTCTGGAAAAACAATTTCTACGATACTTTTGGAACAAATTTATGAAGAAGAGAAAACTAAATGTTGTGGAAGTCTTTCTGGGTGTGGAGTAGACATATCTATTGATAGTTGGTCTTTTTTATATGAAACTATAGATACAGCCCGATCCCATACAAGTGACTATTTAATTGATATTGCAATATAATTTCCTCATGTAAATCAAAATACAACTAACGTGACTTGTAACAGATAATGCTGCTAATATGACACTAATCATAATAAAGAAGGTGTTTAGCTCACCTTCTAAACCTACTTTGCGAAGATTTAGAAGTAAAGAGTACGTTACACAAATTATAGAATATTTTAGAAATAACCAATTAGCTAGGGCCAAATACAGACAGCTTGATGGAAAGAATTAGCGCTGCCAAGTGATGTGAGGCGGAATAGTATGGCAGATTGTTTGGAGGTATATCTAAGCCAATGGGAGAAACTATTAAAAGTGTGTGACGAGAATAAGAAGGAAATAGATTCGACAATATATAAAAAAGCTTCAAACATTGGTCTCAAACGCTCAGGGGAATATCTTAAAACCTATAACTGCAGCACTTGACAAATTACAAAAAAAGAATGCTTTCCTCTCTGACGCAGTGGAAGTTTGGAAAGAATTAAATACATCACTTGAAGAAAAATTATGATCAGTACAAAGGAAAGTTTTTGATAAACGGTATAAGCAGGCACTTACGTCTAACCATTACATAGCGTATATTTTATATGTTACTAAAACTAAGTATTTAGATAATTAACATCCGCAGAAAAAGAGGAAGCTTTAAACACAATAAAGGAAATGTACGCCAATACCGGTTTACTGCCACTAACTATAAAACTACAAGCAAGAATTGAACCATTTTCATAAGTAATGTTTTCAGAGGAAGTCTTAAGTAATGGTGCTTTACAATGGTGGGTGTGTCACAAAAACACATTGCTGAAGTAGAGAAGGTAGAGAGGTTTGTTCATCAGCTTCTGTTGAGAGAATATTTTCAACATTTGGGCTTGTTCACTCTACTTTCGCAACAACTTAAGTGTTGAAAAGGCAAGAAAACTTGTTTTCTTATATAAATATTATAATGAATGTTAATTTTTGTATTAAATGTTTTGTTAATTTTGTAATAAAGTGCAGTTTTATTTCCAGTTTTGATTTAATTTAAATCATTGATTAAAATAAATACGTCATAAAAGTTCTATATTGTATGTAAAGACGTCGTCGAGAGTTCGGGATCACCTCCCATCTTCAGTCAACAACTTTGTTACTCTTAATCACAATCATATCTACAAAAAACCATGAAAAACTCAAACTATGCAAACTATACATAAAACACAAAAGCAAAACCGGTGTCGAATGTTAAAAGATTTACCTCAAATTCTGAGATGATGTTTTTTTTTGTTGTATATGTGTCCGAAATGTGCGACTATCTTGAAATAACAATGTATAAAATTTCAAGGTTAGTTTTCGTTGCTCTCCAAAACTGGAAATCGTTCTAACTTTCTTCAACACCCAATCGTCTTCTTTATCTCTCACTTTATGTATTTAATTTATCTAACATTAGTTTTGAAATAGACTGCATGATTGATATTTTTTGTTATACAAATTGTTTCTAATTTTTTTCTTGTTATAGTATTATTATTTGTAATGAGTATTTTAGGATTTTCAAAGTCAAACTTATGGTTTAATAATACAGCATGGCACAGTGCTGTTTTATTATTTATTTTAATCTGTTTTGAATGGTATTGATGTTGTTGAATTCGTTTTTTAGCTGTTGTTTTGATTCCCCAATATACACTTTATCACAATTGGTACAATTTAACTTGTAAACGGTATCGATTTTATCTATCGTTTTAATTACGTCCTTTATGTTTGAAATCAATGTGCTAATTTTATTGTCATTGTATTTTGCAAATCTCTGAATACTGAAGTTATTTTATTCGTTAATGACGGTATGTATTTAATCTTACAAAACTTGTTCAAATTTGTTACTTTACTTGTTTCATCATTTATATTTCTATTATCTTGTTCAATCTTATTATTCTGATTATGTTTATCGAAATATTGTGTAATTAATATAGATTGGCCTTCTATTTTTTCTGTTGTTTACTTCTCAAAAAATATTATCTATTACATTGTTCTATGGGTCTCGATATGTTGGTAGTTGTATTATCTTGTTTATCATTATATAGAGAATTTATAATTCTATACCCAGCATTATTAAAAAAAATACTCATTTGAAAACCCCAAAATACTCACTACAAATAATAATACCATAACAAGAAAAAATTAAGAATCAATTTATATAACAAAAAATATCAATCATCAATTTCAAAACTGATGTTTGGAAGATTGGAGCGCATTACGCGAATATCTTAATGAAAACTAACCTTGAAATTTCATACATTGTTATTTCAAGATAGTCGCACATTTTGGACGCACATACATATGTGTGTCCATGTATGTATAGTAATTTGAAAAAGTTTTTTAAAACATCATATCAGGATTTGAGATAAATCTTTTAACATTCGACATCGGTTATTCTTTTGTGTTTTATGTATAGTTTGTGTTTTTCATGATTTTTGTTGTGGTTTTTTGTAGATATGATTGTGATTAAGAGTAACAAAGTTGTTGACTGAAGATGAGAGGTAATCCTGAAACGTCTCTAACCGTTTAATATAGAACATTTACAAAGGAAAAAGTGGTCTTTTTTAAACCTTTTATGTAACAACACCTCTAGTTTAATTTATCGTTTTATAAATAAGTAATTTGATTTCAATCATGATTTAAATCAGTCGAACCCTGATTGTTATCAATCAATTTACTGAAAAATCATAATTTTTTTCTTGACGAATTTACGCGAATTTAAATACAAATGATAAAAAATAAATATGGAGGACTTATACTGGTCGACACTATGCAGAAAATTGTCGACTACTGGCACATTAGGTCCTTTTGAACCTATTTTAGGATAATTTTATTTTGTTCTAGCATGAATCAATTGTAGATTTCCAAAAAGAAATGTTTTACCTATCTTAATTTAAAAAGATCAGTTTATTATGCCTTTAGTTCTATTTTTTATTGGCTTTTGAATTTGAAATATTTCTTAAGTGTTCGACCACTTAAAATATGTATTAAAAAAAAATTTAATCTTACATTTTATCAAGGACTGTAACAACATCCCCAACTCGGAAGGGTAATAAATGAGGCCCATCAGACGAAGAAACTTTAGCTTGAACTTGTTCTGGTCGACAATCAACTAATTTAGTAGCAACATCCGCAAATCTAGGTCTAGTAGAAGCATCATGTCTCCAACAATCCAACATCAATTGGTAATGATCCAATGGACAACAATCAGGTTGTTCTAACCTTTGATAATTTGGTTCATCAATCGCTTCTAAAATTTGTTGCCCAGTTAAAGCGGCCCAAGGTTGAAAACCATACGAAAACATTTCCCACAACGTCACAGCAAACGCCCAAACGTCACTCGCTGATGTAAATCTTAAATAACTAATACATTCGGGGGCGCACCACGCGATCGGTAGTTTAAGATTAACATTAAAATTGGTTTGATAGTAATCTTTTCCTTGCCCCAAAGCTCTGCTCAAACCAAAATCGGAAATTTTAACTTTATTTTTCGAAAAGACTAAAATATTTCGTGCCGCTAAATCTCGGTGTATTAATCGTTTCGCTTCTAAATACTGCATCCCGTGGCATATTTGCACGGCAAAATCACATAGTGTAAGTACAGGAAAACTCGACCGTAAACTGGGTTCTTTTAAGCATTCTAATAAAGAACGTAAAGGTGCCAACTCGGTGACTAACATTAGGCTTACTGTGTCTAAAACGACTCCATACAAACGTACGATGTGTTCGTGATCAATCGAATGCATTATAGCCGCTTCTTTCAAAAATTCTATTGTATTCGTTTGCATTCGATCTCTTGCTAAACATTTAATTGCAACCTAAAATAAACGTAAAATATTGCAATTGTTATGAAAATCAAAACTATTTTGGATATTTAGAAATCAATATTGGCACAATTCCGATTTATTTTATTACCTGAATTCGTTCCCCTTCATTACACCAAACACCTTGTTGCACAACCCCAAATTCACCCATTCCCAATTCCTTATTAACTGTAATATTAGCGGCGGGAATAATATGTTTACTGGGAACCCTTGGGGCCTTAGAAACAGGAACATTGTCGCTATTTAACGGGTGTGTAAATTCGTGCGTTGTTGTATCATGATTTCGTGCGGTCTTAATAAGTTTTTTAATTTTCGATAAATAATTATTGGGAAAATGTTTGTCGTAAAATTTCTTTAGTCGCCGCATCTCCGGTTTAGACATCCCGAGTTCGATCAAATCAGTTTCGGTGGTGAATTTTAATTGGGATGGGTGCGTAATCTTTAAATCATTCCTGAAAAGAATTAAAAAAATAAGAATGGAGTGAAAACGACGCGATAGAAACAATTTTGAGACCTACCTAAAACTATTAAAGTACTGTTGCAATTCGGCTTCGACTAAAAACTCGTAAAGCCCGGGCCCCTTTTTAATAGGGGCGCTAATACCCTCTATAAAAGAAACAGAAACGAAAAAAACTGGTAACTAAGTGACAAAAATAATCGAGGTTAAGAAAAATTTATTTCTACTGGTTTCGGTTTCTTAAAAAAACTATCATCAGGAATTTATATTATTGGTGATTACAAAAATTACAATTTAAGAAAGCTTAATACATGCACTATACTCTATTTTGTAATTCGGAAGAGTGTTTTCAAATTGAACCGCCAAAAAATTTTAAGCAAAAATTACACAAGAAAATTCTAGATGTTGCCTGTTGACATTCGGGTTTAGCCACACGTATCTCAAAACGGCTAAACCCGAATGATTCTAGTTCTAGGTCTTGTGTTAGTTCTAGTGATAGTGTAAAACTAGAACTAACACTAGACCTAGAACTAGAAAGTTTCGGGTTTAGCCACACGCCTCTTAAGACGGCTAAATCAGAATGATTCTAGTTCTAGGTCTAGTGTTAGTGCTAGTGTAAAATTAGAACCAACACTAGACCGAGGATTAGAAACATTCGGGTTTAGCCGCACGTCTCTCAAGACGGCTAAACCCGAATGATTCTAGTTCTAGGTCTTGTGTCAGTTCTAGTTTTAGTTCAATATAAATATACAACATAGTAATATCTTATGCTAACCAGCGATACTTACCACTGCCACTAAAACTAATACTATACCAAGAACTAGAAACATTCGGATTTAACTGCACGTCTCTCAAGCCAGCTAAACCCGAATGATTCTAGTTCTAGGACTTGTGTTGGTTTTAGTAATAGTGCTGGTGTAAAACTAACACTAGACTGAGAACTAGAAACAATCGGGTTTAGCCACACGTCTCTCAAGACGGCTAAACACGAATGATTCTAGTTCTAGGTCTAGTGTTAGTTCTAGTTTTGATTCAATATAATTATACACCATAGTAATATCTTATACTAACTAACTAGCACTATCTACTATTGCCGCTACAATTAACACAAGATCTAGAAATAGAATCATTCGGCTAATCATAGGTGCCAGTTAGTATAAGATATTACTATATTGTATAATTTTATTGAATCAAAACTAGAACTAACACTAGACCTAGAACTAGAAAATTTCGGGTTTAGCTGCACGTCTCTCAAGACGGCTAAACCAGAATGATTCTAGTTCTAGGTCTAGTGTTAGTTCTAGTTTTACACTAGCACTATCACTAGTTCTTGTTTGTGTACAACACTTTTTTCTAAAAATGTTCTTAATCAAACATCTTATATACCATGTACCATCCTAAAATAGAAGGTTTGATGTTCAATTTGAGATATAAATTATTACTTAACTCTTAAAAATAAGCTTGGCGTGATTTTATGAAATTTTTACTTTTTTCAAAATTAACCTAATTTCAACATTTCTTCAAATACTTTTTTCTAAAAATGTTTTTTATCAAACACAGTATGTATCATATACCATATTATAATAGAAGCTTTAATCTTCAATTTGAGATATAAATCGGTTTCTAACTCTTAAAAATAAGCTCGAAGTGATTTTACAAAATTTTTACTTTTTGCACAATTTCAAACTTAACCTAATTTCAACATTTTTTCAAACACTTTTTTCTAAAAATTTTCTTAATCAAACATCTTATATACCATGTACCATCTTAAAATAGAAGGTTTGATGTTCAATTTGTCACATAACTCATTATATAACTCTTAAAAATAAATGCAGTGTGATTTTTTGAAGTTTTTAGATCTTTAACTCGCATTAAATTTTCTACAACTCTGGTCACTCATTTATTACTGAATTAGGCATTTCCAAACATTTACGAAATTAAATTCTTTGTGCTAGTGTTAAACTACAACTAACACACACTAGACCTAGAACTAGAAAATATCGAACCAATACTTTCTAGTTCTAGGTCTAGTATTAGTTCTAGTTTTAGTTCAATAAAAATACACAACATAGTAATATCTTATGCTAACTAGCACTACCTACTACTGCCACTAGAACTAACACAAGACCTAGAACTAGAATCATTCGGGTTTAGCCGTCTTGAGAGACGTGCGGCTAAACCCGAATGTTTCTAGTTCTAGGTCTTGTGTTAGTTCTTGTGATAGTGCTAGTATAAAACTAGAACTAACACTAGACCTAGAACTAGAAAATATCGAACCAATACATTCTAGTTCTAGTGTTAGTTCAATAAAAATATGCAACAAAGCGATATTTTATGCTAACTAGCACTACCTACTACTGCCACTAGAACTAACACAAGACCTAGAACTAGAATCATTCGGTTTTAGCCGTCTTGAGACGTGCGGCTAATCCCGAATGTTTCTAGTTCTAGGTCTTGTGTTAGTTCTAGTGATAGTGTAAAACTAGAACTAACACTAGACCTAAAAAGTTTCGGGTTTAGCCGTGCGTCTTCAGACTAATAATTCTTAGTCTTCAGACGCACGTCTAAACCCGAAACTTTCTAGGTCTAGTGTTAGTTCTAGTTTTAGTTCAATAAAAATATATAACATAGTAATATCTTATACTAACTAGCACTACCTACCACTGCCATTAGCACTAACACTAGACCTAGAACTAGAAAATATCGAACCAATACTTTCTAGTTCTAGTGTTAGTTCTAGTTTTAATTCAATAAATGATATTGATAATTTTTAATGATAACAAAATGATATTTTATGCTAACTAGCACTACCTACCACTGCCACTAGAACTAACACAAGACCTAGAACTAGAATCATTTGGGTTTAGCCGTCTTGAGAGACGTGTGGCTAAACCCGAATTTTTCTAGTTCTAGGTCTTGTCTTAATTTTAGTGATAGTGCTAATGCAAAACTATAACTAACACTACACCTAGAACTAGAAACATTCTGGTTTAGACGCACGTCTCTCAAGACGGCTAAACCCAAATAATTCTAGTTCTAGGTCTTGTGTTAGTTCTAGTGATAATGCTAGTGTAAAACTAGAACTAACACTAGACCTAGAACTAGAAAATAACGAGTTTAGCTAAACCCAATACTTTCTAGTTCTAGTGTTAGTTTAATAAAAATATGCAACATAGTGATAATTTATGCTAACTAGTGCTACAGTTTATTTAAAAACCTCTCTGAATTTTAAAAGTCCCACCAAAAAATAGCTTTGAAAAATTACAAAGTGTAAACGCGACTTTTCATTTTACTCTTCCGAATTAAAAAAATAGAGTATAACAAAGATAAATTCATTCAAAAATTTTATCTATCATGATAGATCTACAAATATATCTAAATAGAAAGTTTCATACCCATATCTAATAAGAGGAAAAACGAGGAATAATACACACAGAGAGAGAGACACACAGATCGGGATCTACGACCGTTTTCACGGTCTAAACTAAATACCTGGAAGCACTTCCATTTGTGACTCACTGTCGTATATGTTTATCTGATTACATTAGCGTCTACCGCGGGCCCGATACGATTGCGCTCGATAAACATTTGTGTGTATTTATATTTAGTAACTGTCAAAGCTGTCAAACGACGACGCCATATTTGACAACAAAACTCGCATTCCACAATTCACACCCAATAAAATTCCCTACATTAAATCATTTTTACTGATAAAACCGCCAATATCTAATTAAACAAACAATTGTAAGATTGTTTAACCAATTTTTTAACGTCAATGATTCATATGTATTACGAATTAATTATTCATAACGTACTTATTTATTTTAACTTAGGGATTTCGTTCTTTACAAAAAACTCACGTTGGTATTAAATAACTAACCTAAAAAAATACCGGAAAAAAGAAATTATTTATAAATTCATCATGGTATTTACTACCGTTGTAAATCTAATTAGAAGTCGGGGTCCCGATGAATTCTGGCGTAAACGCAAAATCTTTAAATTAGCAGCCGTAAAAAATTCTCTCATCAATCATAACCTCTAAATTAATTTCAACTTTTTTTAGCATTTCCAAGGAAGAAAACGTAATTGTTACAGCATAGCAATTAGATATGTACATCGAGCTTTAGTATACGCAACGAAAGGACGACAATTAAAGAAACAAGACATGGCAAATGTAACATAACCTCCAAATCCATTCAAAATTATATTTTAATTTTTTTGAATGTTATAGCTTTGGGATACTAGAATTGTTGCGGGGTGTGAACAACACGGAATTAGTTATAACAATTTTAGAGAAGGATTAGCAAGAAGTAACATTCTTTTAAATAGAAAAACTTTGGCTGATTTGGCATGTTGGGAACCGTACACTTTTAAAGCATTAACAAATGTAGCCAATGCTAAGTGTAAAGAAGATGAATTGGGAGAAATTAAAGCTTTAAGATTACCTTTAGATGTTATTACAAACAAAAAGGGTAGATAATTATGTAGGTCGTTTGGATAATGTAGTAGATTTAATGAATAAAAGCAAAAACTTTGTAGTAAAAATGTTTATTTCATACAAATGTAACAACTAATTTATAACTAAAAAAAATCATACAACAAATGCTGTTGTCATCCAAATAACTCCCTTAAAGTTATAATTTTGACAAAACCTCAACTTCAAGGGAGAGGCAGAAGGTGTTTTATTATTTGCGCATCAAACAGATCCAATATAATTAAATTGAGGACGCGCAAACATTTAACTAGCACATTAAAAAAGATCAGTTCAAAAAAACACTCCCGTACATTGATTACGATTCAAATTTAGCCAAAATTTCTGATTCCCTATACAAATGATATTCGGTATTCTCATCTATTTCGACTTTGGTACCACCATACTCCGGTAACAAAACGTTGTCTCCAACTTTAACTGTCAAAGGAACGAATTCGCCTTGTTGATTCCGAGAACCTTGTCCCACAGCAACCACGGTAGCCTTCAAGACTTTAGCAGTCGCCTTTTCGGGAATAACAATTCCTCCCTTAGTTTTGGTCATCGCTTCGAATTTTTTCACGAGAACCCTATCCATCATTGGGAAGAATTTTTTCGCCGCAGCACCAGCCTACAAAAAGTTAGGTTAGGATATTTTATTAACAAATTCGGCGAAATAATCAATTAAACAAAAATGTTCGTAGAAAACGTAAGAAATGAAATTTACCAGTTCAGCTAACATCTCGGATGTAAAAACCGTAAAAAAACGTGGGTAAAGCGGTGTAAAAACGTGCGAAATGGCAGACGATGATGTCAATAACAATTGTTTTTTTTATCGATTTAACGTAAACCAACTTGATTTTGATTAAACGAAAATTATTCAACTTACCATTTTCTTTTAAATAAAGTTTGAGTTGATTTACAAAAAGAAGATTTAAAGGAGATTAGATGCCGGTTTGACACGATGTGAAAATGCCGCAATGGAGGAACTTTCTAGACCTCGTGCTGATAACACCCAGAATTAATCCATCCTTGTTTCGTAAATACCTAAATACAGTAGCAAGAAAGAGATCGATATAGGTACAGAAGTCGACTATTGCGCAATGATAAAGCAGAAATCTTCGGAGTTTTATACAATTATATTTAATATTATAAAGTTATTTACGAAATTTTGTTTAATGTTGTATTTAATGTTTAAAATGAATTAAACACAATAAATAGCTATTATATATCACTTTTATAGAATAAAATATATCATTTTTAACCGTCATCTGTTGTCGAATTTTCGAAGAATGTTGTGGTAAAGCTGAGATTAATATTAGGCGTTTTAGTAGTTTCAAACACACATGATAGATGGCGATAAAATAATTGTTTACTTTTTTCCGAAAAAATAAATAAGTTATTTTTTTTAAACATTTATTTTGTCGTTATTATAAAGAACAAAAAAAAAATAACTTTATTTTAAACAACAAAAGATTTTAAACAAGGTGTTTAAAAAAAACGGTTTTATTTAGTGACATTTTTTATTTTAATTGTGACATATTAAACGTCAATCAAACGTCAAATTATTTTATTGTTAATTTTTTTCTTATTGCAAATTATTCTAATAACATTTTATTAATTTTTTAAAATTTATTTTGGAAAAAAATGGGGTGAGTAAAAATAGTCAAAATTCTTTTACAACATTTATTTTATTGATCGATATACACATCTCCATACATATTAAGATCTACAATTATATACAACCATGTACAGATTCCGACCGCAGCGAAAGTGCAGAAGGAACGACTAGAAATTTCTTCACAACATAGCGTCCGTTAAAGGCGCACTGACCCCTTCCCAACATCTTCTTACCACGGCCTCCACATGTTGTCACACCCATCGTTGTTCCTGCTGTAGTCCAATGGCCTCTCGCATTTCGGTTCCACAACCAAATCTGGTCGCATTACCAAATGGTGTTGAGGATGATCCTCAAGCTCAACTTTCTCTTCTTTAACAGTAATTATAGGTGGAACCGTTGTTTCTGGAGGCCGAAGATTAATCCCCAACGCAGTCGCAAGTTGAAGATAATGTGAAGGAAGTACGAATACGAAGTTTCCGTCGTAGTTTTTCACCATTTTTCCTGGGGGAAATTTGGAATCAGCATTGTTATTAACTTCTTCTAGAGAGGAAGAAGAAGAATCTGGAGGTTGAAGTCGTTCTTCGACTGAAGAAGCCGGTGGTGGTAATGAAGGTGTTCTTATGTCAGTATCAACTTCGGATATACAATTATCTAAATGCCTCAGCAACCTTTGGCGAACACCCGCATCCACAACGGTCATCGTGTGAGCATCCGGAGTTTCCAAGTATCTTTGAACTTCTTTCACGCAATCTGCGTAACCGGCTCTGTAACGATGAACTCCTGGTTGATCGAGACTTCGATGTCTTTGGAAGTGGCGAACGGTTAACTCTAGGATGTCCGCTTTTTCAAGTTTTGAGTGTTTGGCGTTGTCTTGTTTTGCAGTATCGAGAATGAGGGCCTTGAGAGCGGCCAAGCTCTGGTTGATGCGCGCGCGCCGTCTCTTCTCCATGAGGGGCTTGTTGGCTCTGCGGGGCTCCGCTGGCGCTCGCTTGCTCTTCGCGGTCATCACTGGCTCATCGCGACGAGGCGCGCCCGGCGACGGCGGCGGCGCGTGTGCGAGTGCCACCGCGTGTGCGAAAGCCGCCGTCGAGAGGAGGGGAAACGCCGACGGCGTCGGCACGCGCCCGTCAAAGACAGCGATACCAGAACGGCGGGGACGCCAAGTTGTTTAAATAGATCTTTTTGTGTCGACGGGTCAAGTCTAGACGAAGAATAATTAGAATCCAAAAAAAAAGTTTTTGAATTTTATTTGGATGGTTTTTATTAAAAAAAAAGTTGGTAATAAAAAATTGATTGACATTTAACTCTTTGACAAAGAAACGTGATCGCAACAATTTAAAAATTGTAACAGAACAATTACATTTTTAACATATTGGTTTAAATGTGTATATGTTCGACCAGAAATCAAATTTTATGGTTACAAAATCATGTTGTTAGATGTTGCTAAAACGCTATGACTACGCTTGTTATGCGAAAATAGGTAGGAAAGCACAGGTAAACATCTTGAAAGGCTCCGACTAACACAGGTTTCTCTCTAAGTACGTTTTAAACAAGATTTTTTCATAATTGGTTAGTTGGAATATGCACCACGACACAAGGATGTTTGTTTCAATAGTTACTTTAAATTACACTCACTTTCACATGAAATACACCACCCATTGAGAATTAGACTGCAACTTTGAAATTTTGGTAAAATAATGCTTTATTATTAACTAAGAAACGATGAAAGTTTAGTTGAAAGAAACAAAACAAAAATTAACATTTTTCAAGAAAAAGCTAGTAGTGGGTTGCATCCCCACGCGCAGCTATGTATGCATTAATTCTTCTATCCATGCTCTTTATTAAGTGGTCGATGTCCTCCTGGGGTATCTCGTTCCATGCAACCTCTAGCTGGTGTCGAAGTTCATTCAGATTCTCAGGAGGCCTGGTACTTGTCTTAGTCGCACACCCATCATATCCAGTGTTGTTAAATACCCGGGTATTCATTTTCAAGGGCAAATTCCGGGGCAAAAGGACGGTAAAATTGCATGAAAGTACTGTCTGAATACCCATTGGGCGTGGGGTAAGACAAGGCGATATAATGTTGAACCCAAATTGTTCATCACAGTCCTGGAGACAGAACAACTGGATTGGACCCAAAAAGGTATAAACATTGATGCGGACGATATAGTTCTTATTTCGGATAGTCTTGGAGAGATGAAACTGATGCTGAACGTATACAGGAGGCGTGTGCAAGAGTCGGGCTAAATATCAACAAAATTTAGGACAAATCTTGTTCGAAGCTCTAACATCAATATTGGTGATAATGAATACTTCTATCTTGAATACTTTCGATGGTATGTCATTAATCCCTGATGCCTTTCCATATTTTGACGCAGTGATTGCGTTTTGAACTTCATTGATTGATATAGGTTCCATGACACTATCCTTTCTTTGGTGTGACGGACTGCTGTCTATTTCCAAATCAGTTTCTATGCTTAATAGGTTTTGGAAATAATTTTTCCAAATGTCATTCATTTCACTATCACATATTTATTATTTTTCCTGTTCCATCTCAGCATAGAGTCGTGTGCGATTTGTGCCTTTGTCTTAACTGTCCAACAAATTTATATACATTCCTGGTGTTATTAGCTTTAAAGTGTACATATATTTCGGGAAAGTTTATATTTTCACTACCGACCATTCTCGTTTACGTAATACTCTTCGAAAATATTTAACGATTTCTTTAATGCTCGAAAAACAACTTTGAATATCCTGAATTGAGTATAAGTCTAATATTAATGACTAAATTCAGTTTTTGTGCTTCATTAATTCTTGTTGTTTGATTCTTTTCTAGTCATATTGCACTTCTATCAAATCCAAGATTCCAAGATCCATGAGATTGTTGATTTCCAATTGAAAATTAAGTAGTTCGTTTAAGGTCTTATTATTCTTCTTCTTTTATTCAGGTTGTAACCTGTTTTTTACGCATCATTCATGGTGCTTCATTAGAGCTGGAAATCCAACTTCCTAGTCTCCCGCGATCTCTTTCTAGCTAATCTTTGGTCTCTTGCTGTCTTAATCAGCCAGGTTTCTTCCATTCTTTGGAAGTATTCATTAATTTTTTTTATTTTTCCCCTAGCAAATCTCATGACATCTCCGCATCCACAAAATTCTCTTACAATTTTGTTCTTAACTCTATCTCTTCTTGTCTTTTCCACTATTATTCTTAAAGTACTCATCTCAGTTGGTGCGCATCGCAGCCATATATCTTGGCCATGAGGTTCGTGTATTGAGAGATAATAATCAAACAAGCGAACTAAACAGAAGGATGATACATCTTCATAAGCGATATTCCTGTATATTTGAAAAGAAAGGCTTTCGAGCAATGCGTGGGTCATCTTCATACTTTACTAGTAGGGCCATCATTCGTTGTCGTAATCTAACTGGGAAACTGGAAAGATATTAAATAGATAATGACCAGAAAAAGTATTAGATTTTTATTGTAATTTTTATTATATAAAAACTGGTCGATATGGATCAAGCCTCCTCCTGTAATTATGAAAAAACTAGTCTCACACAGAGTATAGTCTGCATGTAAGTGTGAAATAAATCTATCAAATAAGGTGTAACTTTACTCTGAACCAGGTTAATAGGAATTAGGGAGGTAATCTTCTAGACTTTTTGGGTCGCATTCTTATACCAATATAGCGCTCCTATGATTAGACTCAATAAGGTCACTATTTCATCCTTCACCTTTATTTTTTAAAATTTGATATAAACGACAACTTCATAGAGTCAATATGTAAACTTTCATCATTTTAAATATTACTTAATTGGGATCTCATCACACTGAGTATTACTCAACAGTTAAAGTTGTGTTTGAATATGTTGCAAGAAACAAATTTGTACACATGATTGAATCACAGTCCTTCATTATTAACTGAAAGTTGTTCAACAACTCAACTCTCAACCCAATGTTAAAACCACGCGAACCTCTCTACCTCTAATTAACACTTGAACCGGAACTAACACTAGAATTAGAAACATTCGGGTTTAGTAGTGTGTCTCTTAAGGCGGCTAAACGAATGTTTCTAGTTCTAGGTCTAGTTTTTGTTCAATAAAAATATACAACAATCTAACGATGAATAATAACTAAAACTAGATCTAACCTTAGCACTAGAACTAATACTAGACCTAGAACTAGAATGACTGCTAAACCTGAATGTATCTAGTTGTAGGTCCAGTTTTAGTTCAATTAAGACCGACTGTGAAAGCCTTCGTACTTATATGATCAGTTGATGAATTTTCTAGTCCATCAACTGATGTGTGTTCAACATGCTTAATGCCAAAAAAAATAGATAAAATCAGAAAAAGATGAAATGAAATAACAAGAATACAACATAGGGTACATAAATTAAAGACGAACACATTTTATAAATTACTTAAAAGAGATCTACCTAAAATGTTAACATTTTGTTTTGTTTGACCTATAGCAGATTAAACAGTTTGTTTTGTGATGGCTGTGGGGATCAAAACAAGAATCAACATGTACTTCAAAGCTTGATGTTTTTGTTCCTACAAGAACACCACCATCATTACAGAAAATTGAACTGTATTTTCCAGTTAGGAGACATTGTTTCTTACCAGCGGATCGAGTATTTACCAGCATTGAATAAGAACATATCAATGTAAAGACGTTAGGATAGGATTGGAATTTGTATGATTTCAAAAGTTTAGGAATACAAATTATAAGGCGTATATATTTTAAAAAATCTGAGAATAACCGTCAATGTTTGCAACAAAAATCGTGGCTGTTAAAGTTTTTATCAATATCATGTAAAATATCATCGGTGATACTTAAGAGAGATGTTGTGCAGTTGTACTTTTGATGAAACCGTGATGGATAATCGGGCAGCACTCTGAAAGTATTGAGATATTTATAGGTAAAAATACTCAAAAACCTTTGACAACACCAGCAATAAGCTGATCGGCTTTGCATCACCGAGTGCTTATGGAACTCTTGATTATTGGACTATTGGAAGTTTGATTAAGACAGTGCGAAGAATTCTCCACACGATATTGATACTCAAAAGTATATCTCTGAGCTCACTATACAGAAACTTGGGTTCATTACCCAAAAATAAGTGACTACATAATATAAGTCTTTCTTTCAGGGTGAATGGTTTGCAACTTTTGCAAGGACTTGCAATACGAAAAGCTGCAAAAGAGAAGTTATTTGAAAATTCAACGAAAATTAATTTATGTCTCGTTTAAAGTTTTCCAGTCTAAAGCGCTCAAAGTCACTGCAAGCAATGTTATTCGGGTTGATGAATTTTTGATTTAAACGGCAAAGAGACGGAAAGCATATAATGATGAGAAATATATATACTTCAGTAACAAATAAATTCATAACATGATTCTCTGTATTAGCTACAATAAAGTATAGGATTAAGTAGAGCATAGTATCCAGCTAACCGAGTTATGGCTAGAGATAATATGGTGGCAAGATGGGGATAAAAGGTTCATTATACATAGATACAGTTCAAGTCGATTCGTGATGTTGAAATCCTCAAAAGATACAATGAATTTAAAATGTGGAACCTCGTGGTACTCAGTAACGCAACATACTTTAACCCTTCGCTTAACTTAAGTTTATTAATAACCCACCTTTATAATTAAATTATTCCAGAATTTGGAGTAATATTTGTTAATTAATGAGAACCATGTCGTAAAAGAGACATTGATAATCAGAGATTGATAATAACACTTTTTAAGAGACTTCAAGTTTCAAAATCTGAAATGTGTGCTTGTAATATTTCATAAATCAAACCAAATTCTTGATTGTGATTGAATTAAAGAATTCGTGTACATAAAATATAAATGGACAAAAATTAGTTAATATTTGAATAAAGGAGGTTCAACGACACGTTTTGATTGAAAATATTTGATCGTTTATCCTAATTGTAAGGAATTATACGATATTTGAATTAGTTGTATCAATTTTAAAGGGCATTTGTATGAAAAATTGTAGATGTGCATTCAAATAAAATACCATTTCCGGCTACACGATTTCACTGAAATTTTATATTTGAATATTTTATAGAGATAGAGGTTCGCACAACATATTTCGTCCATCCCTGTTTAAAGTGCTAGTTTATAAAAATGTTATTTTCGTGTTTACACACATACATATGTACATGTGGCTGTATTTTGCAGAGTGTTACTAGGAGTACTTGAGTATTTGTTTGAACACCCACATTTCAAATCTGACTTTACTACGAATTCGAATCTGAATCTAACTTCAACCACATTCTACCTACATGTGGTTAACCGCATACTACCAGGGTCTCATATCCTTTGGGTTAATAGCGCTATAGACCTAGGACGTCATGTTCCGGAGTGCAGATCAATAAATATAAAATATACCGGAATTAGGTAATTTTAAATATTATTGTATATGTATTACTTTTCAATATTTTTCTCTATACATTTTTTTCCAATTTGCTAAAGGTTGCTTTATTTGACGATTGATATAAGAATACTTAAGGATGATATAAACTGGATGATATGGACGCACGTTATTTTACTTTATTATTTACAATGATAAATAAGAAAGTTTTAAACGCATTTATCAGCAATCCTGCGTAGGGCACCGTTACTTTATTGAGCATAGATTTCAAAGTGAAAACAGTTTTTAAATTCACGGTTAGATTCAATTAGAAATGGAAGCTTTCTCGCCTTAGTGGGAAATTTTTAAATCGATAGTATTGAGTGCTTATGAGAGTGTACAAAAGACACCGAAACTATGGTGTTGTTAATTGTTGGCGATTACGTGATATTGAAAGTGAGAACAACAACGATCAGGTAGAAAAATCTGGTTCAAGGTAATAAAGGAACTTTAAGATTATTAGTAATGATTCTTTTCAAAAAGATTCAGTATCTCTGATACACTGAAAAGAGTCGAGTTAAGTCGAAAGAGCTAAAAATGTTAAATGACTTGTCCATGAGATATAATTTGATTATGTAATGTTACTTAGAAAAGTTAATCAAAAATCCATAAAGATAACTAGAATCAACAATGAGAAAGCCCCTGATGAAGACGCGACGCTTGAATAAATATTTCTTACTGTAATGACAGAATTTTCAATATACATTGAGCAAACTCTGCGACAAAGCGTTTCCTTTGCCACGGAATACTCACTTTCTGGATAGAATTCTAATTTGTTCAATGATCTAATAACTGCAATTAGAGTTGTTCCTTTCAAGTTGAAACAATTTTTGAACATAACTTTGAGAAAAAGGATTGGCTTGGAGATCGATACAGTTTTTTCTATTATCTCCCTCTGCATTGTTGTTGGTAAACTTAAATTAGTGTAAAGTAAAGTTAAGACTGCATTTTATCGTGTCTATACTTCTTGTTTCAGTTTTAGCAGATGTAGATTCCTTTGTTGCTGAATCTTATTGCACTACAGTCTTCACTTTATTAATAATGGCGGTATATCATTCAAACTACTTTCAATGACTGAATTTAAAGAATGACCAAAGCACGTTATGTCTTAACCACTTTTTTGAATATAGATATATCTGTGAGATTAAGCTAAAGGAAACTGTTTTTCCAAAGTTAAAATGGAATAAAACAAGCTGTGTGTGAGGTATTAACAAAATTGTTTTGTTATTTTAAACGGCCATGTATGCCATTATGAATGGAATATGACATCATTCAAATGTCCGCCGAGGCTTTGCACGGTGGCACAGATTCGAAAGGTCCACAGTTCAGTTACTTTGCCGCATAGACCCGGCTGAATTTCAGCAATGGCTTATTAGTATAGACCTGCGATTTTACAAAAGCCTCAACAAAGTCGTATTCGAAGAATTTTGCGAATGAATTGCCACCTGGTGAACCTCGTATAGGTTGGTTTCGTTCTATATTCAGCAATTTTGCTTGTTAACATAGCCATCCATTCATCCAAAAATATGCTTTGAAAGCTGACATTGATGGTTCATTTGGTCTATTGCGTACGCTATTTACAACAGCCAGCGTATTTGAATCACGTGGTCTGGTATTTCATTGATTTCCATAAGAAAAGATAATACTTGGCAGATTATGCTCAAAAATAACCTTTACGAAAAATTTTCTTCGCAATGCTCCAATTGGTATTTAATTTGATAAATAAAGGAAAGGATTGTAGAAAAAATATTTGTAGAAAAGTTTATAGGATGAACAATTTATATCACATACATTTTTGAAACATCAATTTGATTTGACGTTTGTTGAAAATGAGGTTAAAGAAAAACATTGTTTTCTCCAAAACCATGAAAATTGAAGAAATGAGACTTGTTCAGGTAATAAACGAACGTTTGATGTTGGGTTGTGCCAAATTTTAAGTTTATAGGATGAACAATTTATTTTATATACATTTTTAGAAATCATCAATTTGATTTAGCGTTTGTTAAAAATGAGGTTAAAGAAAAACATTATTTTCTCGAAAACCATTAAAATTGAAGAAATGAGACTTGTTCAAGTAATAAAGGAACGTTTGATGTTGGGTTGTACCAAATTTTAACTTTATAGAATTAACAATTTATTTTATATCCATTTTTTAAAATCATCAATACGATTTGACGTTTATTGAAAATGAAGTTAAAGAAAAAAATTGCTTTCTCCAAAACCATTAAAATTGAAGAAATGAGACTTGTTCAAGTAATAAAGGAACGTTTGATGTTGGGTTGTACCAAATTTTAACTTTATAGGATGAACAATTTATTTTATATCCATTTTAAAAAATCATCAATACGATTTGACGTTTATTGAAAATGAAGTTAAAGAAAAAAATTGCTTTCTCCAAAACCATTAAAATTGAAGAAATGAGACTTATTCAGGTAATAAAGCAACGTTTGATGTTGGGTTGTATCAAATTTTAAGTTTATAGGATGAACAATTTATTTTATATCCTTTTTTAAAAAACATCAATTTGATTTAGCGTTTGTTAAAAATGAGATTAAAGAAAAACATTGTTTTCTCCAAAACCATTAAAATTGAAGAAATGGGACTTGTTCAGGTAATAAAGGAACGTTTGATGTTGGGTTGGGTTGGATTTATTTGAAGCTTGTATCGATATGATTCAACCATCTCATCCAACACATCGACGCACCTCCTTATTTTATTTTTGTGTGACATTTTTGTGAGTCAACCCGAATAGTTAAATGGTATCAGGAAAGTACAGCAACACATCGACGTTTCTTCTCAACATATCGATGATGATGGTTGACGATGAGTGTGGTGTAACGTACATTCGAAAATTATGTGCATTGTCTGTCGTAGATTGATCTGCAATTCATAATTTGATGCTGCATTTGGTTCGCATAAAAGGAATGGACTGCTTGAATGTGCACCTCCACGAAACGGATTGATCAAAAATCAAATATCCTGGAATGTACGACTACCAAATGGTAGACAGCGATTGATATCTTTTGAATCAAAACACAAATTCGTCATTTCAGCGACCATATTTTTAAATGGCGCAATAAATAATGAAAATATGTGTCCTATAAACTAGTGGTGGCAAACGATGTTGGTCCTATATGACAAGCAATTCATCAATTTGGTTGAGGAAACCAGAAATAAGCGGACCTTCTATGGAAGCAAAGGAGATAGAACTACTTGAACGAGTAATTGGGATTCATTCTGTGGAATTTTATCATGTTTTATCTTTCGACAACAACACATTTGAATCTAAAACTTGTTCAATTAAGTCAACATTAGAATTGTGGCTGTCACATTCATCTCTTGCTTCATTTACAATTTCATTTTCATTTGGAATATAATCGTCACCATCTTGATCGAACCACAACTCATGAACTTAGTAAATGTGTAAGTTCAATAACAACTTTTTGCATTAACAGCTGACGAAACAGTTGTGTGAATGTCAAAAATATTTGATACTTTAAATATTGGATTTTCCAGTGTATCAACTGATGTGTGTTCAATATGCTTAATGCTAAAAAATACGATAAAATTAGAGAAAGATAAAATGTAAAACAAGAATACAATATAAGTTCAGAATTACTCAATCATCTGGAGAATATTGGACTTGAGAATGTTTTGGCTTCTACAAAGAGCACCTCCATAATTACAGGAAATTGAATTGTATTTCCCAGTTAGGGCACATTATTTCATATGAGCGGATCGAGTATTTACCAGAATTGAATAAGAATATAGCAATGTAAAAACGTTAGGGGAGGATTGGAATTTGTATGATTTCAAAAATTTAGGTCTTGAAAGTATTGAGATGTCCATAGGCTAGAAGTCAAAAATACTCAAAAAAAACTTGGGTAAGACTAGCAATAAGTTTGGATCACTACATCGGGAAGTGGAGAATTCTCCAAACAATATTAATCCTCAAAAGCATATCTCTGAG